ATTGTTTTAATATAAGGGTCTTCCCAGGTGGCACAGTGGTAAAGAACCTGCCTGCCAATGCAGGAGATGCAAGAGATGCTGATACAATCTCTGGGTTAGGAAGATCCCCTGAAGAAGGAATAGCTACCCACTCCAGTACTCTTGCCTGGAGAATCTCATGGACAGAGGAGCCTGGTGAGCTACAGTCCACGGGGTATTGAGCAGTCAGACACAGCTGAGCATGCACACACACACACATGTTAATACAAATATTTTATTGGTTAAATCAGGTTACCCAGTGAAGTGAAATCACTCAGTCGTGTCTGACTCTTTGCAGCCCCATGGACTGTAGCCTACAAGGCTCTTCCGTCCATGGAAAAAATAGCTTAGTTTCAGGCCTTTGCTATATTAGAAAATATTAAGGTTAGTTTGCTTGAAAGTACTGTGAGTCTTACCTACTCCAACTGAGAATAGCAGACCTCCACTTGTCTTCATTAAGAGCTCACCCTCTGCCCCATGACTGAGTAGGAAGTTCTGTCAAAGCCATGGTTGAAATATTAGGAAACCAAGTGTGTTTTAGGGGGAGGATTAAATTCAAATCCCACATCCCAAGCTAAATAATTGAAAGTCCGGTGAAAAACACTTAATGGAATATGTCCCATGATCTTTGAGGTGTATTCAATTTTTCTTAAACTGGAAGGCCTAGAGTCTATACTCTCTGGTAAAGAGGTAGATGATTCCTTAGGCTTTTCTCAACTTTTATTTTTTGATTCACTGAGAGTACAGCCTACAAGGATTTAATTTTTCTCTATCTCTAAACCCATCCTCTGTGAAAAGGACATTGAAAGTAATCTATGGTATTTCCTTAAACTCATTTGAGCCGTTTGAAACTATGTTCAATCTGCTTAAGGCAGGGAACAATTGTATAAACTTAAAGAACATTGCCGTATCAATAAAAATATACCATTATAGTCCTATTTAGAAATAATCCTCTTTACTAAAATTTAATTCAGTGTCCCTAAGGGTAAAATAGAATTTAAAATAAGAGAAATTTAATTTTAGTTAAGTTATTTGGAGTTTTAATACTCTTAGTCCTAGGCATACAGGCACATAAGAATTTTCTAATTTTCTTGAAGGAAGCTTGTTTATATTTAACTGTTTTTTTTTCTAATATTCTTGAGGGCTGTTATGCCTCCTTGGAAAACTAATAAAAAGGAATTAATTAAATCACAGTTTTAGAAATACAGGTGATTTTTATTGGGTTATTCTATAACATACATGCTTGAGTGCTCAGTTGCTTTAGTCGTGTCTAATTCTTTGCGAACTTATGGACTGTAGTCCGCCAGACTCCTCTGTCCATGGGATTCTCCAGGCAAGAATACCGGAGTGAGTTGCCATACCTTCCTCCAGGGGATCTTCCCAATCCAGGGATCAAACCTGTGGCTCCTGCATTGCAGGCAGATTCTTTACCTGATGAACCACATGGGAAGCCCATTCTATAACATATGTTTGCCTATTCCATATGTCTTAATACTTATTTTTTCCTTTAATACTGAAATGCACTTGTTATAAAAAATATTCAAATGGTTCATAATATTTCTCATTTTTCTTTAATACATGTAAATAATGCTGTATCTTAGTAGCCATATAAATGATGCTTATAACTTGCAAAATATTTTACAATTAAAGTCTCTCCAAGAACAAAATAAAATACCCTATTATACTTTATGGAAACATAAACTGGATCTAATAAAGCCCTCAGATTGGGTCTGGATAAATGCTCATAAAGTCATGGCAGTTAATTATGGGTTCAAATGCTTGTGATCCTGGTAACAAGCTTACCTCACTCTGACCTTAGCTTCTTTTCATAATCAGCTTCTTTTCACTATCACACATCTGGCACAGTTTGACTCTCAGCATAATGAGGACCTATGAGAATTTAAAGCTGTGGGTTGTACCTGATAAGTTCTATCACATCGCTCAGTTGGCAATTTCCTTCATCCATTTTTGTTCCCAGAGTCTATTTCCCACACAGCAGATAGAATGAACTTGGAAAGCATAAATCAGAACCAATCTCCACCCTACTCAAGATTTCTCTAAGTGATTGTAATTAGAGTAAAATGAAAGCTCCCTGCCATGGCCACACACCAGCCATTTCCTTCCTGTAGCCCACATTTTTTCCCCCACCACTCCTGATTCTTTCTTCTCCAGTCACTGTGACATTCTGGCTCTTCTGTCAAATAGATCAAGCTTCAGTCAATTCCTGGCCCTTTACTTTGGTGGACCTGCTTTCTGACCTATAGACAACTCGCTCTTTTTCTCTAAGTCTGTGCCCCAATATTACCTGCTTTGTGAAGCTTATCTTGACCATCTTGTTAAAACAGCCCTTGCTTTTCCATCATACACTCCTTATTCTGATTTATTTTCCTTCCTAACATTAGTTATTGCCTGAATATGGTGGCACAGTGGTGAAGAATCCACCTACCAATGCAGGAGACCTGAGTTAAATTCCTGGATTGGGAAGATGCCCTGGAGTAGGAAGTAGCAACCCACTCCAGTATTCTTGCCTGGAAAATTCCCTGGACAGAAGAATGGCAGGATACAATCCATTAGGTTGCAAAGAGTCAGACATGACTGAGCATGAATCTGTAATATTATTTGTATTCTTACTTGTTGTTAGCTTTCCTCACTGGGATATAAGAACCTTGAGTTCAGGATCCACTGTATGTCCAGAGTCTAGAATAGTGTATGGTGCAGAGTGAACACTCAGAAGTTAACTGGTAAATCACTTAATTTGAAATAAAATGAGCAATGTTTCACCAGCCTGAATAGTAAGCTAGTATTCTGAACCCCATTTCTTATCACTTTAGAGTATTCTCTCTCCCAAATTAGATCTTCTATGTGCTCTTTTTCAGTATCTACCTCCTTATGATAAACTTCTTTTTAATGTCAGATAGCCTCAATTAGAATCCTATTTCCAGAGTTTAATTTTCAAGTGATATCTTTCTAAAACTTGTTTTCTCAACATTATAGTAGACATCATAGTAGTACTAATTACCTCAGGGCTATTGTGAAACTTTATGTGGCTATTTCGTTATTCATACATTACTCAACTGCTAAACAGCATTTGGAATATTATATCCCTCTTGTAACACTTCCCTTAACTTTGACTATAAGCCACTCTCCTGATTTTCTTTCTATTTATCCAGCCCCACCTCTCTATTTCTACCTGTGCCCTGAAGCTAAAGTGGGCCTTCCTCTCTACCTCCCCCACCTCCCCAGTTATTTCCTTCTATTTTATATTCATAAGTGGCAACATCATGTCTCAGTTGCTCAAACCAAAACCTAGGTTTTTACGCTTGCTATCTGTTTGCTTTTCATTACCCACACCCCAGCAAAATTTGCATGTTCTACCTCCAAAGAATGAGTTCAATCATGTATCTGCCTTTTTTTTTTTTTTTAATCTCTTTCCACATCACTGGGGAGAGCCTTCCAACTGATCCAACTATGTCTATTCTTGAACTACCCTCCAAATCCATTTTCCAGCTTGCAGCCAGAGAATGGTCTTCCAGTCATGTTACCCTCTTACTTAACTACATTTCAGTGGTTTCCCATTGCAAGTTCAATAATACCAGCTTTTGTACCATGGTCTACCAGGCCCTCCATAGCCTGGCCTTCCTTACCTTTCCTAATCCACCTCTTAGAAGCATCTTTTTCTGACTAACTCATGCTTGAGTCTCTTTCATCTTCTTTCTCTTCTCAGACAAACCAAAATATTTCTTGCCTCAGGACATTTTCACTTCTTCTTTCCTTTGCCTGAGGCAGTTTTGGTCAGACATTTATAGGATTATGTCCTTTTCATCCAGATTTTAGCCTAAATGTTATCTTCTCAAAGAGACCTTTCAACCTACCCCGTACCCCTGCCTCCAACTTCTATCTCCCAACTTATGTCCTTCACTACAGTTGCACAATCTGAATTTGCTTATTTATTACTGGTTACCCTGTTCACCTACAACTCTCATATCCATGAGGGCAGAGAACATATGTTTTGTTCACTATTGTGACTCTAATGCTTAGAACATTACCTGGACCATTCACTCAACTAATGTTTGTTGAATGAATGAAATGAGATAATGGATATAATGTATTTAGTATTGTACTGGCACATGGAAATTACTCAATACATGTTAACTTACTATTAAAATTTCTGTTTCTCTTTTACCTTATGACTTCAGTGTTGCATCCTGTTATGGTCGTTGAGGGAGGACTGATTATCATTTCAATTCTTGGTTGAAATCACTTTCAGTCATTTCAGTGGTTGGTTGGTTGGTTTAGTTGTTAAGTCGTTTCTGACTCTTGTGACCCCATGGACTGTAGCCCGCCAGGCTCCTCTGTCCATGGGATTCTCCAGACAAGAATACTGGAGTGGGTTGCCATTCCTTTCTTCAGGGGATCTTCCCGACCCAGGAATTGAACCTGGGTCTCCTGCATTGCAGGCAGATTCTTTACCAACTGAGCTATGAGGGAAGCCCAACAGTTGATTGGATTACCTTCTCCCTTTGGATTAAGCAGCTTTCTCAGCAGGGGAACTGCTGGGTAAACCTGGTTTGAGAGACAAGTAGTTATGCATCGATTCATTCATTCAATTATTCAATTTTTGCTGAGTACCTTATTATGGTCTCATGCCTACTTTAGCTTTGTGTAAAGTGAAACTGATTCAATGCATCCCAAACTTCTAAGGTCATATTAAAGGGACTAAATAAAATCACAAATTTTGGAGCAACAATAGATGAATAACACAGACAATAATTGCAAGAAGGGAAAATTTGTTTCCCAAGAATAGTGTATGGCATGAGTCTTGAAGAATAGGTGAAGGGGAAGGTTCCTGTGAACCCATCTGAGATATTTCAGTGGGTCTTTTATGGGATGGGTAACTTCTTTCCAAATGTGTTTGTTTCGTATGCTCCTCTTTCTGGGACAATCATGGAACTCATCATTTAACTGAGAAATCACATATTTACCTCCAGACGATGACCAGACTGGGCTGACCATGTTTCCATTCCTTAATGCCCTTTCTTTATATTCTTGTTTTTACTGCCTTCCCCCACTGCCCTTGCTCCTCTGGCGCACCTTCCATTTTGTTGTTGTTCAGTTGCTAAGTCATGTCGGACTCTTTGTGACCTCATGGACTGCAGCACACCAGGCTTCCCTGTCCTTCACTATCTCCCAGAGTTTGCTCAGATTCATGCCCATTGAGTTAGCAGTTTTACTGTCACAGTAAAATTTAGGAAGCAGAGATTGACTATGTCACTGTGCTCCTTAAAATCCTTCAACAACCACCGATTTCCTTGCAGTTTGCTCGTGTGTTTCAGGCTTGGTTAGATACCAGCTTTGTACTTTTGTTTTTGTGACACTGTTTCCTATGACAGCGGGTCTCGTTGACAGTCTTTCCTGTGGCTCTCTTTCTGTGGAATCTTGGTCTTTCATGCCTGTGTTTTCAGCCCCTGGCATAGTGCGTGGTGTGCCCCAGGCCTCCTACTAAGAGAAACCTTCTCTAATAAGTGTCCCTTCCTACCCTGACCTCTCCCTCACAGCTTGCTGTTTTCTGATCTTCATAGAGCCTCACATCTTGGGAACTATCTTTTATTAATGCTTAATTAAATGAGCTGGACTTGGTGAGGTGCAATTATGAAATAGTATTCATTTAATCCCTTCAAAATCCTGAACTCTGTAGGCTCTTCCTGCCCTGCCTCAGAAGACTTCTCAGACAAATCTCATGGATTTTCCCATCTCACTTAGGTATTAGAACTGTCTCATATTTTGTTGTCAAAAAGTCTACTCAAATCTTAAATTTTGATTTCTTGTCCAATTTAAAAAATTCTCCCCATTTCCTCAGATCAGACCTGCACTTGGCTCAGAAACGTGCACCTTGAGGGGGTAGCATTAGGGTCAGGATGAGGGTCTGCTCTTTTTCTTTGCTCTTTAGACTTATCTTCCCTTCTCAGCACATGGCGCTGGATCTGTTAGGGCTGAAGCTGGGATCACTGTTGTTTCCTCTTGCCTGTCTTGGTAGATGTCCTAAAACTGGCTCTCTCCCTGATGTATGTGTTCTAGGCCAGTTCCCAGAGTTATCCCACAGAACGAAGCATCAGCTGTCTGTAGTCGTAGGTGGCTGACTCACACCTTGGTGACTGTCTTCTCTTCCCTGTCATCTTTCCTGACTACACTGTCAATGTTTTCTGTACTTTGCTGTACCTTTTCTGTACTTTTGCTACTACTTATTAAAATATTTGTCTTAGGATCTTCCTCTAGGGCAAAGAGGAACCTTTAACCTTTTCTGTAAAACACAAAATAGTAAATATTTTAGACTTCGTGTATCATGTCTGCTCTGTCTCAACCACGCAACTCTGCCCCTAGAAGCCCCAGAGCCACAGACAATCTGAGAATGAGGAAGTGGGCCTGCGTTAAAAATTGTCAGAGAAGTGATATGACAATTCACTATAATGGTAAATTTGCCCTTTTCTTTCTATATGTCTGTCCATTTTTGCTTTATGTAGTTTATTGGGCCAGTGGAGACTTAGAGCTGTAATAACTCCCTATTGAACTGGATCTCTCTCCATAATGTAACATCCTTATCAATTTCTAATGATGCTTTCACAGAAATATGAGCTATATTAGCTCATACTTAAATAGAGATCACAGCTCTATCGTGTCTAGTATCAGCCTGATATATATATGTATATAATATATAAAATATATATATAAATATATAAAATATATATTTATAAAATATATATGTATATAATATATAAAATATATATATATATAAATATATAAAATATATATATAAAATCTTCAACCCTTTTATATTCAGCTTTTCCGTATTCTTATGGGCTTCCCAGGTAGTGATAGTGGTAAAGAACCTGCCTGCTAATGAAGGAGTCATAAGAGACGTGGGTTCCATCCCTGGGTTGGGAAGATACCCTGGAGGAGGACATGGCAAGTCACTCGAATATTCTTGCCTGGAAAATCCCATGGACAGAGGAGCCTAGTGGGCTATAGTCCATAGAGTGGCAAAGAATGAGGCATGACTGAAGCGACCCAGCACACACACACAAGGTCATGAAGGTGGAACCCCTGTCATGGGATTAGTGTTCTCTGTTCTCGTAAGAAGGGAGACTAGACCTCTCTCTGTCTCTGCCATGTGAGGATAATGAGAAGGTGGTAATCTGCAAGCCAGGAAGAGAACCTTCACCAGGAACTGATTCTGCCAGTGCCTTTATCTTAGATTTAGCCCCTAGAAGTGTGTAAATGTCTGTTGTTTAAACTACCTGGTCTATGGTATTCTGTTATAGCACCCTGAGCTGACTGAGACAGTGTGCCTCTTATACCCTGCATATAACTGAATGAAAAAAAATGTTTGAAATTCTCTGTATTTTACTTGGCAAGGTTTTTTTAAAAATTTATTTTGATTGTTGACATTTGTCTCTATATATTACTTTGTGATATTCCATTATAGTCTTTGTTTCTTTTTTTTTCTTTTCTTGCCTTTTAAACCTTTTGATAGCCTATCTTTGCTTTCATATTTCATTTTCCTTCATCTGTCTCGTAGGAGTACATGTTTATCTTGCTAGTTATTCTTGAAATATTATGAGTCTAAATATTATATTGAAATTCTCCTCCCAAAGAAACATGAACCATAGGATATATAAACTCCAATCACTTTCTCCTGAAGTATGTGTAACTACTGTCCATTATTTGTTATTTTATTAATCCCACAAATTAGATATTATTTTCTTTTTATTTCTTAATTCAGACAGCATTTATCGAGAATTACCTACATATTAGCCACTTATTTTGCTCATCATTTCCTCTTACATCTCATAATTCTTTTTGCTGTCCTTTTCCTTCTACTTGGAGTATAACTTGGTAGGACTTTTATGTAGATCTGTGGATAGCAAACACTTGGTTTTTGACCATCTTTTTCCAAAAAAGTAGTTTTGCAGTTTCAAAATTCTAGGTCAGCTGTTTCTGTTGGCATTCCTCTAACATCATTAACAGTTTTCTGATCCTGAATAAGTACTTTAATCTCTCTAATACTTTACTTTTGTGGTTTAATGAACAAAATAATCCAAGTGTAACTAAGGGCTGTTCATGCCAGTCACTGGGGCAAAGAGCTTGCTGAGACCCAGGTCTTCCTTCTGTCAGTGGGGACAGTTTGTTTCTTTGGTACAAGAGGCTGGGACATCTCATGGGCTTCATGGTTCCGAGGATCTGGGAGCTGGCTTTCCAAACAACTTTTGTAAACTGCTGGAAACCCAAACCAGACTGCACCCAAAACACAGTCTGACTATTTCTCTCTGACACAACTGCCGTATCTGACCTACCCTGTTAAAGGTAAAAAATGTGGGGTCCCAGTGAGAGTTCAGCCTAGTATCCTGCCCAGCCTGCGTCACTATGAGGTAGCGAGCAAATGGGAACCACACTTTCTAGGTGCTTACTCTGGCTTTTAACATTTTTCCCTTTCCCCAATAAAGCCTGTTGCTTAGCCAGTGCTGTGTGATTTTTTTGGAACTCATCTTGTATCTGGGATGAGATTCCTCATCTATATCATGGTGGTAACAGCACCATTTAGTTGGTGTAGAGGTTAAATGGTACCAGGCATGTTAAGTACCTGGGTACACAGGAAGAACTCAGTAGTTGTTGGGTACTATTTATGTTGCTAAACATATGAATGACCCTTATATTTATTGACTCCTCTTTAAAATGTTCCACCTATAACAGTATATGGGAGTTCTATCCAAGATGGATTTCTCCCCCCATATATTCGTGTGTTGCCTAGTAACAGTCACTGACTTCTCAGAGTAAAAAATAAAATCAGCAACAGTTTCTAGCCAACAGAGTCTTTGCTAACACTTGGATGAAAACACTTGCTTAAAAATTAATCCCATCTTGGCTATTAATTATGAAGTGCTTTAACAAACACAAAATGAATAACGATGGTTTATTGTTTTTCATTTGAGAGAGTGCATCCACATCACAGAAGCAGAAATAATCTGAAATTAATTAGCAATTGATCATGACAGCATGTCATCCTATACAACTTATACAACACCTGCCTTGATTATTTTTGAATCTGTGGAGGAGAACAAGCACAGCAAACTGGCATTTGACAAACAAGCAGCCTAATTAAAGGGCTATCAGGGACAGCAAATGGAACAGCAGTGAATCAGAAAAAATACTGTCTACTAAAGTCGACAGATTATTACCACAAAGTAAAAACATTGGTGCATAAAATAACTTTATCTTTCAAACATATATTCTAGGTACAGCTTTTGGTGGAGGGCTCAGTTCAAGAAATTTTACCTATTCCTTTTAGTTTCATGGGAGTACCTTTGGAAAATAAGGTCTCCAATAGATTAGAGGGTATTGGGAAGGCCAGACAGGACACTAAATAATTAACTTTAAGAAAGACGTTATACAAATGACAGGGTTGTTCAAGAAAACTTTAACAGTATCTGCGGGCTTTAAGTTGCCTTTTAAAAGTATAGGACAGATACGAATAGAAAGTAGATGGTGACTGCACATCAGAGTTACTGTGCATTTTGTGATATATGTTGTCTGATATTTGTGTGTGTGTGTGTGTGTGTGTGTGTGTGTAAAGTTGCAGAGGAATCCATAATATTATTAAGAATTTCAAAGCTTTAAGGATTTAACATTTTTTTTTTCTGTTAATAAAACTCTTAATTGTGATTCTTTGCTTGAGGACTTATAAAGAATTTTGGGTAAAGTAGTACAAAACTTTAAATTTATATTTTATAGTAAGTGAGGACAAAGCCAGTTATTCAGTGTATCTGTGCAATCCTGGACATTTGCATCTGTTTAGTTTCTTAGACACCTTTCTTATTTTGAACAATGTTTCAAGCTCAGAGTTTAGCCATGCTTACATCTCCTAAAACATCTTGGGTCAAACGTGACCTTGACTGGAGTTCAAAAACTGAGGCTCAGAAAAACTGGGAATAATATCAAAAGAGACTCAAGTTTCTTATATTGACAGTAGAACAAACAGAGAAAGAATAGATGGACTACTTGATGCTAAAATTTTGATTAATAATAGAGACTAGATACTTTGATTCTGTCTTTTCTATCAAAATGAATT